AGGACCTTATCTCTGCCACTCAGGAACCAGTTGGCAAAAGAGGCCAACATTAATATGCACAACTTTCCTTCGTTTAGCAAGGTGGCCCTAGACCTAGAAGCAAAGATAGGGCATGGACATAACTCAGTCACAGACGGGAAGAAGAAGACACTGGCTCCCAACTGGAAAGCGAAAGGTCGCATTATGTTTGTCGACCACGATGGCTCAACTACTGAGTTGGACAACGACTTCGAGTTAGGAGTAGGTGCAGAGGCAGGCGGCGATACTTCAGAGGGTGGAGTAGTCGCCGCCGTAACCCAACAAAAAGGTAAAGGGACCGGTAGACGCCCTAGGGGATCCCGGTCGAAGAGTCAAACAGACCCCAATGCGGGTCTAGCTGAGGACGCGTGGAGAGATCGGTGGGCACGGCAAGCTTGTATCAAGTGTGGCCAATATGGTCATAACATGTACAAGTGCCGCAATAGGAAGGTCACCGAGAAGATCCCGCCCACTATGGGGTCGGCAGTAGGATCCTCTCAAACTTTTGGAAGCAACGTTGCTAGCTCTTCAAGCAATGCTCCGGGAAACACGTCGGGCCAGTAGGGATAGTAGCTGTTCCTACTAGGGTCGCAATGGTGGATTCACCCTCACCTTCGCAATTGGAGGGCATCATCTTCTTCTTCTTTCTTACTTCTTCTTCTTCTTGTTTCCCTCTCTCTCCTCTCAAGTTCATTCATTTCTTTTTGCAATTGGAGGGCATTGTACTTTTTGATGAATGTATACTTCCAAATTGGCAAGGATCGTAACAAGCTTGACTTGTTCGAAAAGGTACAAGATGTTCCACATCTCAGGAACTACGCCACAAGGCAACATGAAGTGCCATCATGACCATGGCCTAATGTCTTCACCCAGTCATTATAGCTGTATTTAGTGCAAATTCGGGCGTGCTATTCGGGTGAAGACGGTAGCATGTTGCACAGAGTTTAAAGCAAGCACAGTTGCTTTTCCAACAAACTGCACAGCATTCCACATCTCAGGACTGGTGCAGTAAAGGCGACCTCGACAGTCGTCACGACAACAGCCTACCACGGTGTACCAAGGGGGTTGTCAAACCACCAGTTCACAAGAGCCTAAGTTAATGAAGCTTTAAACTTCCAACGCTGCCGAGCCTGAAACTGCACCTTTTCAAAGTGACCCGTCCCTTTTGCAACCAGCCACCAGGCCCGAACGGAAATGCCCTTGCCGCGTGTACCGGTCAGAGCACTACTCCGGTTTGTGTGAGCTGGTGGTTTTAAAGCCGTCCTCTTGTACAACACATACAACACACACACAAAAAAAACAAAAAACAATCTGTGTTGCAGGACCGCCTTGAATGAAGTAACGCACCGTCACGAAGTTGCGCCTGGTGCTCCATTTGCCGCAGTCTATGCTTCAGCTCTGTATTCTCACTTGACAGTCCATGTGTGTCTCTCTGCGATAACACCGCCAAAGATCACATTGACAGATATAATGATGGACACAAAGAATGAGAACCGGCAAATCCAAAGCTCGTGGAGAAAGGACGGAGAAAGGTGAGATATCATTTTAACTTTCCAGGTCCGTGGTTTTCAGCTTATTCCATTCGTCTAGTTCCACCTGGATTCAAACTCAGGTCTGTATTCCAACATGTCATGGGTGTACCAACTGAGCAAAGACTGAAACAAAAACAGGAATAGGGCCAGAGAATGCAAAAGCATTATGAGGGCAAATCTACCAAGTTGCCTGTTGGTCTCCATCCAGTTTAGACTCCCCTCCGATCACAAACCAATCGGAGAAGGCGGTACCATCTTCACCTGAATAGAGCGCATGTTTATTAAGGCTGTATTTGGAGCAACTGTCAGTCTAGATATGGTGATAACGACCGTATTGTTGTATTTGGGGGAAGGCGGTAGTGAGAGGGGCGTAGCAGGGAAACGAGGAAGAAGAGAACCCTCCGGTTCAGGTGATGACATGATTGTAGGTGGTGACAACCTTACCGCTAAACGCTGAGTGGCTATGGAACAGGGAGTTTCAAGGGAAGTGGGGAGAGGGGGGGGGGACAGAGAGAATGCAAAACTGTGCGATCCACGGGTAGGATATCTTTTACCTTTTTGTTTACAGCTGTGCTATGTTCTAAATGTAGGCGGGGGATGGGGTCAGGGGCGTCCTAGAGGGGGGGGAATGTCAAAGATCATAGCCGTGGGAGCAGGGGAAGGAGGGAGCAAGTCCACACTCCTGAGTTTGTTGAAGACTCAGCAGCGAGGCAATCACAGAAGACCAAAAAAGACCTTCAGAGAGTTGCTGAAGACATCAACCATGCTGAGCAGAAAATGGTAGAACAAGCAAACAAACGGCAAGGACCATCACAGTTTGCTTTCCGTGATCCAGTTTGTCGGGGTTAAACCACCACCACTACTTTCTCAGGCAACGTCAAGAATCCAAAATGTGACGTTCTAGGTTCTTTGGAGGCGCGGGGCTTCTGGACCCCGATGGCTGGCGGCAACAGTCAAAAGAAAATGAACAACACCATGCTGGCACCGTGGTGAAGATCTGCGCGCAGGGGGAATCGGCCTCGGCAACAAGAGGCTCCGAGGTAGTGTAGTGGTGGCTTCATTTCAGTCTCAAGAGTTCATACACAGAAGAAGGCATTCGTTAGAAGTTACTACCTGTTTATAGTGGACCATGGGACGCATTACGTCAATAATGACCCCAGGTTGTCTGTGGGTGAAGACGGTAGGATGTAGAAAATGCTCATGCACCACAGCTACTTGATGGAATGGCAGGCCAGGACTCGAAATGGATGCTCTAACTCCAAAACTGCTTGCAAAGAAAAGCACTCCCCCGACCAAAGTTACGGAGTCATTTCACCACGCGGTGTCATTTCGCTGGAGAAACTCCAAAAACCTGAAAAAAAGCACTCCTCCCAAATATACTTGATGGAATGGCAGGCAGGACACGGAGTCATTTCGCCGAAGAAACTCCAAAAACGCAAAGGCCGTAGCCTCACTAGCTAGCGTTGGGTTTAGGGTTCCCCAATTTGTCACAAAACCCTACAGATGTGCCAGGCGGTGAATCACTGACAGTAATATTGATAAGATGATGGTTTTATGAGATGGTGCTTGAGAAGGAGAAGCACCCAAAGGCAGAAGCTGGAGTAGACATAAACATTGTACCCATCGATTAGAACCGTTAGTTATTCTTTATTTTTTCCCCACTCTTTTTCTTCCATGCCCGGTTGTGTAACTTCATTGCTCTCTCTCCACGAGTTGTTCTTGCTCGAACTACCAGTACGTTTCCCTGCCATTTCTTGAAGACGCGGCTGTACAAGCGCCGTGTTCTTCAGGGATTGGCCTACTGGGGCAAAGTGGCTGGCAGCAACACCCAAAAGAAGGCCAGGGCCAGTTAGTTTGCTTTTGGCACGGAGGGACGTTTTCAGGCTCGGCAAGCGAAGGGTCAAAAGAATGTACTGGGGGTTTGATCTCCGAGAGTAGTTGCATGATGATGATGGTGTGAGCTCCAAAGGTGGGTTAAATACGCAGCTTTTAACCACCAAGGTGGGTTAATTACACAGCTTTTGACCACCAAGCTGGGTTAATTATGCAGCTTTTAACCACCAAGGTGGGTTAATTACACAGCTTTTGACCCCCAAGCTGGGTTAATTACACAGCTTCAAACCACCACTACCACCGCACCCTATTTGTACGCATTGAGCAAAATAACCCCATTGGCCTGCCCAGCATGAAACGTCACTCCTATTTGGGGACCACTCCTGTACTTGGTGACCACAAAATATGCATTCAGTCGGACGATAATTTTTTTCCGTGCCCTGAACCATTTCTGTTTTGTTTGTTAACGTTCTAATCTGATGCGGCACGGCCTAATTTCCATCCCGGGTGTTTTTCTCAAAACTTTTCGTCGCTGGAAACCAGAATGAAAAATCGTCAAAGTTGGGGTGCTCATTTCCCCTCTAGGGTCAGGTAGGCCGAGCCTTCACGAACAGTACCTCGTCGACCAGATTTCTTTTAGGATGAAGGAGACCGGGACCAGCGCTATGAAACAATAATATATCGAAAGAAGTTCAAAGGTTTTGTATTCGCCTTACTTGCAGCATAGTCAACTGAGCTGATAGCGTAGTTGCCTCCGTCTGTAAAGTTAAAACCCTTCTCTCCAATTCCGATATGTACTTCAACTTGCGCTCCTTTGACCTCGCAGCAGACTGCCGATTGGCCAATATCCTGTGCCAGAAAGCAAACGCAACAATTGCATGCCATTAGTTTAAATGAAACGGTATTCACCAGTTCGCAGTAGCCGATGCAGATCCTAGGGCTCGATCCCTAGTCCTCACCTTACCTGTGTACAGTATCTGTGTCGACCCCGAGAGTTGGACCCGTGACCTGTGTATTTGTAACAGTTCTTAGGCTGTCGTAGGGTCCGTAGGGAGCAGGGGTTCGATCTGTAGACCTGTCGAGTAGAAGTCTTAGGGAGTTCTAGAAGTCGTAGCTGTAGAACTTATGAAAGGTCAAGGTCGTAGCTGCTACAGTCCTGAAGGGTCGGTCGTAGCTGCTACAATCTTCGAAAGGCCAGGACTCAGACTTCCGGAAGGTCCTAGTAGTGGCCTTTCGAAGTTGCTCACGTTTAGACTGAGGCAAGTGGGCAAGTGGGCAAGTGGTGAGCCCAACTGCAGTACGTCGACGGTGCGACCGCATCGAGTCGGCAGTGCAAACCCATGCAGTCAGCGGTACCGGTCCCAGTCAGTCCTAGTCCAGTCAAGCAAGTACCATATGGGACTGTGAGCACCACAGGCATGGGAAAAAGGGCAGACCAACGAGCTACAGAAGTATACATCAAAGGGCAGCGTCCAGCCATTCATTCATTCCTGCGTGAGCCATGCGGAAGCGCTGCCACAGCGACTTGTGCGAGGTGGTCTGCAGTGAGCCCGAAGACGAAGTGGGCGAGAGAGAAGAAGCTTAGCCATAGCGATAGGTTAGCAGCGGCCATAGCCATTGCAAAGAGTTGTGTGGGCGCTGTGTCGCCATAGCCATTGAAGTGAACTTGTACCTGAACTGCGTTCTTGGCTACCATATCTCTGAGTTTCGAGTGGGTGCTTGTTGCCAGTTTGCTGCGCACCTGTTTGCATACATGCGAAGTGTGAATGAGAGCGAGTCTGATTGCATAAAAACATGCGGCGGCAGCGGCGCACTATTCTTTCTCGTTTTTCTTTAAAAAAAAAAAAAAAGTGTGATATGCAAACTTGACCGTGGTATTGCTCGAGTGATTTTCCCATTTCTTTTTTCTTTTCTTGTTATTCTTTTCATCCAAACGCCTTAAAACCACCACTACCTTTCTCAATGTTGGGAAAAACGGGAATATAGGTCACACCACATTTTTCGGGGTTATGGGAAGGCCCTGCGGGCCCGCCTGTAATAGAAAAACAAAAAGAAATTGGACAAGACTAAGTTCAAAGTGGTATTTCGGGAAGGCTGTGAAAGACGAAGACTGTGTATGCATCTGGTCGCAATTCCGCTCCGAATTAAGTAAGAAACTCCTAGTGTGAGTATGCCCTCACTGTCCAACGTGAATTGCTGATACTCAATTGACCAGCAAAGAAAAAAACCAACACGATCTATAGTTTGCTTTTCTCCAGTTTCGTTGTAATATCATTTTTCATAGAATATATCATAAATATGATAGAAATACAATAAAATCTAATTACTAAATAGAATAAACAGCTGAGTGGGGATCCGGGCCGCCCGGGTGATCGGCAGGGGCCCGGGGGAGGCCCCGGACGGCCTGGCCGGGCAGGGCACCCGGTTGGGGGCCGGGCCCCCCCAGCGCACTCACCTGTTGGGGGATTTCGGACCTCCTGTGTGTGTGTGTGTGTGTGTGTGTGTGTGTGTGTGTGTGTGTGTGTGTGTGTGTGTGTGAGAGAGAGAGAGAGAGAGAGAGAGAGAGAGAG